AATCCACTAATTACATGCACTAGGGAGTCAGGCTAACTTTGCCCATGCAATGCTTTATGCATTAGGAGTTAACTGCTGTCACGAGTCGTTATTTCCATTGAGAACAGTGATTCATCTTTCCATGAGTACTCAACAGATGTCTCAGTGGGAATGAAATTTTAACTCATGTCACCATTCTGTAGGAGAAAATACATATAGGAACAGGACATTGTGTTTGGGTACATGTGTTTTCTGTTGAACTGGGTTGTCTAAGAACTTCTGTCTCAAGTGTTTTGAGCAAATTTAGTATTTATTTGACCATGATTAGCTTCAGAATGGTAGTTGTGGAGGAGAAGGCTTGCTCTTATGGGCAGTGCAGCCCCTCAAATGTGCCTCAGTCCTGATTAGAAAACCCAGATTTTAGCTGCTCTAACAGCTACTGGGGATGGCTTTCCAATCAATGTTTTACCTGACATACGTTTCTGCTCTATGCCTTTCAATTGTCTGGTGGAAATTTGTCTTTTCTTTTATTGCTCATCAAAATGGTCTATTAGAGATGTTACTTACATTGGAAGAGCCTCTTGGGTAAGAGCTACCCATACTAGATATGCCTTCTGCACTACTGTAACTGTGAAAATTTGGAAAGAATAACCGTCTGGAGAACAGAATTTCAGGATCTATGAGTCCAACATATCAAAAGTTTCCTTGCACTTCATTTGTGTCCCTGTGTTGAAATTTTTGTTTTTATTTTTTGCTTCAGCTGTCTTTTTAATAGTCCATATACAAACTTAGTAGGGGAGTTAGATGGAATTTGAAAAAATCTGAATTCAAATGTCACTGTTTTACAAAGAAAAGAAATATGCTACTGAACAGCATCTGTATTAAGTTGGGGTAACTGTACATATTTTCAAGTATTGTGTTTTTTGTGAAGAGATGTCTATGAAGGTTAAATCAAAAGGCAGCTTTTTGAGAAGGCTTTGAGACTGTGCACCATGACAGGACACAGGACTTTGATCTGTTTAGTTTTAAGGACTTTGTCACAGTATTTGTCCCAAATCCTAGTCTTCAGGAGCCAAGACATTGACATCCTTAGGAGAATCACTCTTGCAAGTGCAGAGTCCTAAGCTTTGTGCAACCACAGAAGTCAGAGGAACACTGTGAGAATGTTATCAATCATTTTTTTCTTTTGGTGCTTCCTGCAGCACACTATGGTTTAGACAATGATTGTGGTAAGAGGCTTTTAAATTGATGTAAAGACCAAGTTGATTTGACATGTTTTTTAATCAAGTGTTTATTAGTTGAAATAATCTTGGGTGTGTTTTGGCATAGTTTAAGTTTGAGTGGGAAATTGAATCATTGTCAGGAGTCTGTGTATCTTTGAGCATGTTAAGCTGAAGTTACCAAATAGAACTGTGGGAGGCTTTTGGCTTGTGCTTAGTGAGTATAAACCAAAGCTCCTACCTTGCTGCCTCAAGAGCCACAAAAATGTTAATAAAAGTCAGAGATGCAAGAAAAAAATGTATTCCATATAGCCTGTCTACTTGCCAGTACTAGCTTTTCCCTTAAGTTACTTTCCACTATTTTGTTCCATCTAGTTTAAGGTATTACAAGGGATGAGACTTCCTCTGCAGTCCTGTGGAAATTATTTCACAGTCCTCATAAGACTTTGTGATTTTTTTTTCCTTATTTATATTTCCTGGTTATTATATTTGCAGAGCAGAATCCACACCAAAACTGTCAGGGGTTGTTTTCCTGTTAGTTTTGGCAAAATCATTCAAGGTTCCTTCTTGCTCCTGTCTGCTTTTGTTGAACTGAATGAACCAGTGAACATTCTCATGCCTCAAACTACAAGGATAGTTTTTTGGGATAGGTGATAATTTGCTGTGGGCTGCTGTGAACGTTTAAAATCAACCTGCATGTATCAGGTAAAGCAGCTGGAGCTCTCAGAGGTTCTTTTTTTGCATTTTCTTTTGTTTCTCTCAGGTGTTCACACAAAGCCTTCCTAACTGGTTTCCCACGTTCTCCTCACCTCCACCCCTCTCCCCTTTAACACTAGGGTACTTGTGCATAAGCCTCACTATAGGATTATGGACTGGCCAATTAGAGGCAGTTAAAGCTGCACTAAGATGAAGTCAATGATTTTTCAGTAAGCAAAAGCTAAAATTAATCATGTAACCTGCCTGTAAGATTGGACTGTGGACTATTTCATCAAAGATAATTTGTCCCCAAAGAACATGTTGCTTGTGTTTGGACTGTTGGGTACCCAAGACAAATTAATTTGAATTGTTGTATGAGTCTCAAGGAACATGTGAGCTTTTGCAATTGTTTCAAACCCCAAAATATTTCTGGTCTATTATAATTCCATTTGTTCTTTCTGTTTTATCTCTCAATTATATATAATAAAATTAAATACATATTTACTCTGATTATTGTAACTAAATTCATCAGGAACTATTGTGATAGGACAAGGAACATTCATTTGAATGTTATTTGCTTCCTAAGCATTTGTACATTTAGAGCCAAGTGAATTTTATTTATTGGAAATTGCTTACTTTTTCATTCTTTGTTTTTCTTGGTTTGCTGAGCTATTTTCTTGTGTGTTGACTTGCTTCTCAGCTTTTAACTCGAGCTGCTGTACACAACAAGGTGCACAGTGGCAGCTGCTTCTTGAGAAGTTGCCATTTGGAAGGCAGCATGGAGGTTGTCCTGCAGACCTGCCCACACATGTACCACATGTGGGTACGCCCTGCCTCAGGTGGGAACAGAGGCTGCCAGAGGCACACAGAGACTTTGGTAACACAGAATCAGTTTTGTGAAAGATTTGCTTTTAAATCTTTTTCTCCCCCCAAGTCGAGTTTGTAACTTTCTTAGATGAGTTGTAAATTCTGAAGTGTTTCACAGTCTGATAATAGATGAGCTGTGTCATGTGCTGCCAAAACCCTGCAAAGTGTGAGCAGTATGGAGCTAGGGAGGAATGCTGATCTTTTAAAATTATGCTAGCTTTAATATTGTAACTAAATTATGGTTTAAATCACAAAGTCATCACAGTATTATTGGAAAAAAGATGCAAACTAGGATCACTCACATAAAGGGGAGAGATGTGTGCAACACCTGTAAACACAGTGAAAAAGGAAAGTAAGATGCTTTGGGTGTCTCTCTTATCAAGATATTTGTGCTGCATGATCACAGTCTCACACCAATCTTATAGTGGAGCATTTTTACACTTACTCTGCACTCCTAGTGGCTGTTCCCTCTGAGCCTTTTCTGGTGCCTGAATTGGAGAGATTGTGATGTAGAGCTGTTCTCATCTCCTCCACAGCTCTAACACAATGTGTGGAAAAGCAACAAAGCAGAGAAACTTGGGTTTGGTGACACGGCAAGTTTGGATCATCTTAAAGCTGCTCCAAGGGAAGCCCGGGCCAGTGCAGCTCAGGAAACTGATAGCAAGTAAATGTACTTGAGTGGAACTTAAAATAATTAAACACATTAACTTTTATACAAGTAAAGCTTGTATGCCAGATACAATACTGTATCTTTGTGGCTCTGTCTGCCCTCCCACAGCCAGTGGAACCATGGGTGCAGATTTTGGCTTGTTTAATGGAAATATGGGCATGATTGATACAGATCAAATCAATTCTTGCTACTGAGAGATTAATTCATGCACTGAGCTTATCCTAGTGATTGTGTGAATGCTGCTTCCTATACAAATTTAAAAGGTTTCTGACAGCCAGACTGACCTGAGACACCTAGTTTTAAAACATCGGGAAGTTTTGTGAAAGTACTGGGCATGGAAGTTTGTTGGGTAACCCTATAACTAAGTTCTGTGCAAATTCAGAGTTCTCTTTGCTGCTTATACAATTTTAGTGCAGCTTTATTGGTGCTGCTGAGCAAATGTACAGTTTTATTTGTTGAGAGCCAGCCAAGTGGCTCTCTGTGGGAGAATGCTGATAAACCTGACTATTTTAAACCTGGGTGTCTCTCTGCTGTTTTTCAAACTCAGTATGTCTCTTCCTTCTGTATATATCATGTTGTCTTGCCTCCCCATCCCTGGCTGCCACAAAGGTGGTAACACTTCTTAAGTTCTCATCCCTCCTCATGATCTTGCTTGTTTTTGCTCACCTGAAAAGTTCAGTCTTTTACTTCCCTCCGTTAAACTCTTTGAGACTATTCAGCACCCTGAAAAGTCATTATTCTTCCAGTGTTCCTACAAGACTTCACTGTCTGTTTTGGTGAGGCAGTTAAGGAGTTAAAAGCTTGTGGAGTTTCAAAGAAATGCCGGACAGCTGCTGTAAAGTATTGCTGCAAATCCTAGCTGACCTCATTCTTGTCAGACAACAGCGATAATATCCAAAAACGGGTGCAAGACAGGAAGTGTTTCAGGAAGGTGTGTGTTTCATGCAAAGACATCAGAAATGTGCTTTCTCCTGGGGCCACTTACCATAAGATCCATATTAATTTAAATGAAACAGTGAAATTCCAGGCTATGTTTACAGAAACATCATTTCAGTCCAGAAAAAACATTGCCTGTTGCTCTAATGTACAGATGGCAAAAGCAATTGTGGTAACCACTTGTATGTATTTAATATAATGATATTGCTGCCTCTATGGGGGCTAATAATTTTTGTTACTTTTATTTACTATTTTAAGGGGTATCTTTGACTTGAAAAAGTGGAAAAGGAGGAATACAAGTCTACTTACACTTTCTAATTTACTTTACGCTCAAAGACTGATTTGATATCTAATGTGCTTTTCACTAATTGAATCAACTGAGTTCCTTAGTAAGCAGAACAAAATCTCATTTTTCCCCTAATGCATTCTCTGATCTATAATTTAAAAGAATTAGCTTTTAAAAGATTTAGCATTTTTCACCAGTCAGTCTACCAAGTTACCTGCAAAAAGTATATACAGGTTCTTACTATTTTCATTGTACTGAAAAGTTCAGACATGAGAGAGAGCTTGTATTTTATTTATATTTTTCAGAAGTACCCACATAAAAGCATGCAAATAAAAATGAATCCTACCAGTTCAGAGCTCTTCTGCTGATAGGGATATTTTCCCTAAATTTCCTCTTAGTTGTCTCCAGAATTGTGCCTCTTATAGTAAGAATCTGCAGTAAAAATCAAACATAAATGATTATTTTTTAACAAGCATAACTAAATACTGCTTGAGAGGTTTTTTCTTTAGATTGCAGAAGTTCTTATTTCAGCATTAGCTTGATAAATTTTTATAAAATAATTTATTAAGAGTTGGACTTGATCCTGTAAAGATTCTACCATTTAAAATGTTGCACATGAATAATATGATTAACTGAAATGAAGTCCAGCAGATGCCTGTAGGAATATTAAAATAAAGCACTACTATTTAGCCTCAGCTCTTTGTTTCATTGAAAAACTTGTTTTCTTCTGTACTTTTCTCCTATATTCTTCTATAGTTTAAAAAAAATATTAATTTATGTTGGTAGGGAGTGAACAAATTCAAGCTGCTGGAACTCATGTAGTAATTTCCTCTTTGGGAATTGGCCTGTTTGTGAAGCTGGGTCACTGACCTTGAAGGGCCCTTTGAAAAGTGCAGCTCGTGGGCAGGGACTATGGGGATGCTGAATGGTAAAATAGCAGAGGTTGGGATTTTTTATAGAGATGTGACCTGGGACCTCAGGTGAGGTGCATGAGGAGATAAAGGCAGGCTGGGGGATGGAAGACCTGAGTGCAAACCTCAGCCCTGCTGCACGCTGAGGAATGAAACAAGAGTGATCTGTGTTTTTAGAAAATGATCCAAGGATGTAACAGAAAAGAAAGGGAAGGAAAATGGGATCATTTAGATACACGAAGACATTTTTTTTGTTGTTTGCTGGTATCAGCTCATTTGATATACACACACAGTTGTTTCAAACTGAATTACATTTTAGATTTGTCTGCTGTTCCTGGAAGTTATTGCCAGGAGTGAAAAACCGCATAAGACATTTCTAGTATTAAACCATCTATTACTGATGGGTAATGACAGAGTAGAGGGAGAAGGCACCAGTTAGTCTGGGTTAGCTCATGTGCTCTGGATAACTCTTTCTTGAACACTTAGATTTCTAAAGTTCTGCTAGGCTATGTTGATTTCCCACTGCTTTCTGGATGTGGTGAATTGTCTCCATGTCAATGTCAGCTAATCTCAAGTATTCCCATGATTGTCTGCCTCAAACTTTTTCAGGTAATGTTCCATTTGATCACTTTTCTCTTGGCTATTTTAATAAGATAACAAATACCAGAAAGGCTGCAATAACACCTTTTAACAAAAGAAACATGTTTGAGTTTTTAAAATTACAGATGCCCTGCATTGTCACTTAGATTTTATTTGTTTTTGCTTTGAAATGCTAGAGGCACAACATTTTAGATCTATAGTGGCTTTCTTGTTTAAATTCTGATTTTTGATAGTGAAGCAGGGAATTAATTCTCAAAGTCAAAAGGGAGAAAGTTTTTGTAATTACCAAACAGTTACAGATTCAGGCACAGGAGGGAGATAAAACCAGAATCCTGTTTTATTAATTGTTTGTTAAAAGAAAAAAAATTTTATGAGATGCATCGCAAATGTTCACCTTACAAAATTATATAGCAATGCAAAATATGAGAAATTGTGTTAGTCCATCAGTCTGTCCCCTTGGCTTTTCAAGAAGGAACCACAAGGAACTTAAATAGCATGCTTTCTTGTAACAGTGATGTAAAAAGATGTTATTTAAAGTTTTTGTGTTTGGTTGTTTTGTATTTTTCTTCAAAGTGTATTGGGTTGGTTTTGACCAGTAAATGTGGATTTTGTTTCTGTTCAGTCCTTATTCCAGTCAGTTCTGTGACTGCCCCTTTTTGATCTCAGTGAATTCTGATCTTTCTCCTGCATCTTTAGACATGCACCTGAAGCATTTGTCTCTTCATCAAATGTATAGAAGAATTTGGCACTTGTCTTAGTATTCTGAAATAAACTAAAACCAGGCTGTTGTGGTTGTCCTCATCAAAGAGTCTTCCATGGCATACACAGGACATCAAAGAATATATTTGCTTACTGCTTAGAAAACTGTTTAAAAATCTGCAGATTTGTTGGTGAAAACAAATTTCTGATTTCTGAATTTATTTGGTAGGGTTTTTTAAAAATCCAAGCAATTGAGTTTTTTTGTTAAATTAATGTTTTATCCTTTGTGCTACTGAGCTTTTAAAGTTGGATAATTGAAATAAGGCCTGGCCTAGACGAGTTAAAGGTGTCAATTTTGTGAGTAGCTACCTGTGAAATGTAGAAATGCTCAAAATCACAACACCCTGCTCTCTCTTGTGTGACTTGGAATGACACCTACATATGAATTAATAACCAAAAGGAAATATTTAACTATTCATAGGGTGCATGAAAGTTCCGATAGTGGCATGGGTAGGTAGCGTTTCCAAAGAGCAAGGCTGTGGTTTAGGGTGGTTATAGACATGCCTTCCTTGAAAGAATGGGATAAAATACATAAATCACTGCACTGTTGTCACCTCTCTCCACGCTTACAGCCTATTGATGTACTTTTTGAGTGGCAGTTGCACAAACCCTCTTGACCATTTTCTTACAGAATTCTTACAGTCTCTCCAAGGAAACAGTTTGCTTTGCACCTGTGGCAGCTTGGTAGGAGTAGGGTGTGCTCTGCTTTGACTCTGCCCTGCTTTCAGAGGGTGCCATTTGACTCTCCTGAGCCTGTTTCTGCTCTGCTGAAGGGGACAGTGATGCTGCCCTGTTTTGGTAAGGCATCCTTCTGATCAAGAGGTGAAAGACCAGATAGAGCCTTCTTTTTACTGATCCCAGGAGAGCTTGAATACAAACTGCATGAAGGTCTGCAGTCTCTGAAGGAGATTTAAGGAAATCCTGCTGGGATTTAATTCTGTGTCTGAGTCATTTGAGCTTGTTTTTTGACCCATTAATAAACCCTTGTCACACTACTGCTGCTGCCTTTTGTTCCAGTCATTACATTCCTCTGGAGTCTCTGTAGCCATTGTCTGCTTTGTTTCTTTGGTTTTGTTTTTCTTCACTAGGAATAGATTTTTAAGTTGGCAGAAGGCATAAAATTTGGTTCCCACCACCAGAAAACTCGGTGTGTTTGCAAGGGGTGTATAATGACCGTGCAAGTTACACCTTTGCAAAGTGCAGCTCCCTTCTCCCTTCAGTGGGTGCGCAGCCTGAGTGGGCAGTGAGTGCTCCTCCTCCTTGCCATACTGGCAAAAGAAGCAGTGCCGCAGAGGAGGGTATAGGAGAAGCCTCTGAGGACCCAGATATGTGCTGTGGGATATTCAACACTTTCAGCAGAAAGCTCTTCTCACCCTTTTGTGCGTGCGTGGAGGCACACACAGGCTCTCCCCATGGGACAGATACCTATCGTGTTTGAAAGAGCCTCTGTGGGCTTTGGCTCTCTGTTGAGTGTGTGTGGGCCATTTAGAACAGACAGCTTTCTCAGAGGGCATGAAGGTCAGTTTGAAATTTTTAGGTGTACTATGTAACGCAGTCTGCTGTTGGCAGATTTGGAAGATACCCGTGAAATCTTTGTCAAGGAAGAGGCCTTTTGTTTCCAAGAGAAAGTTTTGGATGCAGAGTGGGAAGAGGAGTATTTGCTAGATATGTCTGAAATATGTTTGTTTTGAAAGCCACTATTGAATTAGGTGTAAACTTTGAGCCTGGTTTATATTCCTCAGGGCAGGGGAAGATGGAATCTGTTGTTTATCTGAGTGCAGGTTTTCCCTAGGGTGCTTATATACACTACAGAATATTCATTAAGCTGTTGGCATTGTATCTCTAAATCTTTTCTTTGATTTCAGGTCTTAAATTAAAAAAGACAAGCCAGATATTCCCACTCCTCCCAAAATAAACCTAAGTTGTGAAACTGTCCTTAGCACTTTTGCTGAATGAAGCAGAAACACCTACTGTTTTCTGGCAAACCCGATTTATCCATGTAGACACTCTTCTGAGAGATGTTTCACTGTGTCCACACAGTCTTTACCTGACCTTCAGAAAGACTGATGACAAAGGGAATATTTGTAAGGCAGATTACTGCCTATTTAAGATTTGGGGTTATCTGTGTTTTCCAGCATGTGACATTGAACAACTACCAGGGACAAAAGAATTTTTTGCTTCTCTCAAGTTACTGTTGGCTTTAAAGCAAGAAGCCAGCAAAGGGACATGCCATTTACATAAGTTTAGAAAACCTTCAAAACATCTCTTTTAAAATTTTCATTAAGAGGTATAGAGCTATTGTCATGGCATGATGGAGAAGCTTTCCAAACTGGTTTGAGAAGATAAGTGCATTTTCTTTGTTTTTTTTGCATTCCACTAATATTGTGATTATTATGCTACCATTTTAGCTGTACAGTTGGTCATACTTTGTACGCTAATTTTAATATTGTGAAAAGGATGCCATTAATAATGAGTAGGAACAAAATAGTTAGCTTGTTTTAACTGAGGTGGTACATTTTGGGTGTTTCAGCTCACCTCTTGTAGAAGGTCAAAGACAAAAGAGATTTCCATTTCTAGAACTTTGCTTTAAGATGGAAAGTAGACCTGCAACCCTGTCTTGCAAAGTCATGAAGGTAAGAAATTAATTTGGCAGTTCACAGAATTGTTGCTAAGATAAAATGAGAGGAAAGTGAGGGGAAAAGGAGTGTTCAATGGGAAGGAAGTATCAAGAAAATAGACAGTCTTCTTAGGAAGACTTAGAAACAGATGAAGCCGTGAGAAACTGAACAAAATACTGACATAAGTGGGTTTGCCATACACTTAGAGTTAAGCACACATTTTCTGTGGTGCTCTTCTGGAAATTGCTACTATGAAATAGCTTTTGTGGGACTTGAGCTTTAACACAGCAGCTGCTACTACCTGCACACCTTGTTTTGGGTGATAATTTTGTTTGTGTCAAGAAACTAAGGGTAATTCCATTCTGCTTTTAAGGTAATCTACAAGGTTTTTCATTTGCTTCAGAATGAATGGCAGTGATCTGCCCTTCCTTCAAGTGATCATTACTTTTACAGGATATTTAAGGTGAAATAGCCTATACAATAATGTAGATTATAGCCACATTTATCAAAGTGAATGCTATCAGTTGCAATGATTTTTAAAATA